CTTTCCTTTCCTTTCCTTTCCTTTCCTTTCCTTTCCTTTCCTTTCCTTTCCTTTCCTTTCCTTTCCTTTCCTTTCCTTTCCTTTCCTTTCCTTTCCTTTTACAGAAATGTGTGTTCTGTTTCATTGACTTGACATTTATGTCATCTTAATTTAAAATTACTTGGTTTCATGGTTCATCTTTCATCCTTTGGCTTCTGTCCACTACATGTTTTTAACTACACTCATCGCTTTCTTCTTTAGTCAATATTAGTTGTTATTATAATTGATGTTTATGGTGGAACAGTACATGCCAATATTGCTAAACCTTTATCCCCACCCAATAACCATAGGACTGATTCAGGATAACAGATGGTGTTTTCAGCTTCCAAATTCTTTGCTCTAAGCATATCTTGCAGCAGTTGGTTCTGTGTTTCTAATTTTGTCTGATGCAGGCAGCCTCCCAGCCCCAAGTGACCCAAGTTTTTGCTTCATTCAATGGTTCTTCACCCATAAAGCCTGAGAGCAGGAGCCTCAAGGCAGCTGCTAGAGCTGGAATCCCACCAGTGTCATGTACCACACATCAAAGAGTTGGAATTCCACACAGCCCTCCCCCAAGTGTTGCATTGTGATGCAGAAGGAAGCATGCTATGGTGATGTGAATATACATGTTTTCTGGTCATCATTTTACATATATAGAGACTATATATCTTATTTGTCTTTATTTATCCTCTCATCATGCATATGAATGAAATGTACCTATTTAATGACAGATGCAAGTATTGAAATGAAAGATCAAAGTACTGAAATCAGCTCTTTCCGGTCAGATGCAGTTTGACAAAAGCACTGTGAGCCTTGAAGCAAAGGACAAGAGCTGCCAGCATTTGTGCTTTTTAACAGCAGCACCACAGTGACTCAGGTATTAGCTCAGAACTGAAGCTAAGCACTCCAATGCAGTCATGAGGATCCACAGGAACTTAAACACCCTCTCTGATTAGCACATGCTTTTCTTAATCTACAGCTGAATCTTTGCTTGCTGAAGCCAGAAGCTCTTCACTGTCTCTATTTTGAGTGTGTTAAAAATAACTTGAAGTAAATAGAAAAGCTGTTTCATGTATTTTCGGGTCAGTTTAGTCTTTTCCTCTTTGCCTGCCCTTCCTTAACTGAAGAAAGGTCTGAGGGACAGAGGACTATGAAGGGCAAGGAGAACCTCAAAGGCCCCTGAGCATTTAAAGTGTTTTCCTGTAGAGAAGTGGGTGTGAAGGATGTGGGGATGACCAGGCTTTGGAGAGGATAAATGGTTTGCAAATGCAGCTTCTGCTTTATGACTCCTGATTTAGAGGCCCAGCGTGATGTTTTCAGCAGTAAATCACTAAGTATTTTCAGAAAGAGGGAGTTCAGCATATTGCCTCACACCAGTCTTTTTTCTGCCTGTGACCTTTCCAAAGGGGCGGTGCAAACAGTAAAAAGTAATAATAGAAAAGGAAGTACTGAGCTAAGATCAGGGTCTTATGACTCTTAGTTTTCATATGCTAAGAGCTTCACCCAGCCTGGCCTGGAACACTTCTGGGGCATCCACAGGTGCTCAGGGCAACCTGTGCCAGAGCCTCACCACCCTCAGAGGGAAGAACTTCCTCCTAATCAGAGCAGCCTATTTATTAAATGCAGACCAGGGACAGGATTGTGCTCTATTTTGGGGTTTGTTAATGATCAC